CGCGAGCAGCGTATGTGGCGAGGGGGAGGGAGGAGGGGGAGGGGGGAGGAGGAGCTGGCGAAACAAATAAGCTCCAGGGATCGCGTCCTGCGAGAAGAAGACACCGGGAGTCCGCACAGTCCCTTCGGAGACAACCCCCTCTGTCGTCGGGCCGCCCCCGCCGGCGCCGCCGCCGTCGGCTGCCTCTTTCAATTCCGGCTTCTCTTGTTCCGCGGGCGGCTAAATTTTCCGCCGACGCGCCGTGCATTACGAAGCGCCTCCATCGCGGCGAAAGAATATCTCTTACGCTGATGAGCCCGGCGACGCGCGGGATGAGCGAGACACGGGTCGCGAGTGCTTTTGCTTCGGTGCTAGCGAAGCTTGAATTGAATGGAATTGAATTGATGCTTTACTTTACGTGCCGAGACCCGCTCTTGCGTCTGACCACGCAAATTTCGCTACGCTCCTGTCATTCGCTGGCGGAGAAACGAGGTATTTCTTGGGGGACGAAAAAGGCGATTTGAATTTAGCTCAGAGGCGTCGTTTAGGCTTGAGGATGTTTTACATGCAAGTAAATCTACTAACATGGGGCAGCCGGCTTTACTTCCCCTCGAAGGAAGGCGCACGAAATATTTTTTTTCGCCCTTAAAAGTCCACGACTTCGATCGGGTTTGAACCGTCAACTTAACGGACGTCGGAAGGATACATGTCTGTTTTTTTGGGAATCGGTGCCGAATACTTCCATGGAAACTCGCCGAAAACAGGAATCTGGAGAACTGAAAATATGAACACGCCGTAAAAATACTGTGGAGATTATCTTGAAAGTATCACTTTAAGAAAATGCTTCAATATATGAAGGATTGAGCCAAGTACAGAGAAAAATTCTGAAAAAAGTAACATCGGTGGAAAGAAGCGGTGTCATACATTTGGAAAGGACGATGAGATATCAATAACTAATAGTTATTAGAGAAAACTTGTGTAAAATATTATTTTAAATTGGTAAATGAGTATCCAGGTGGTCGAGACAACTAACGTACAGTGGTTCGCATCAAAATAAGCATTTGTGTCTTAACTTAGACGAACGTGTTCTTATGTCTGAATGTGTTGTATTTAGTAATTATGAAACATACAATCTCAATTTCACTAATGAAAATTCTTAAAACTTTTGGTTTATCTACGCTTATGTGTATTACATGTATTCATAAATATGAATGAAGCAGCTAAATAAATAACAGCTACTTGTAATTGTACAGGTGGTCTCTACCTAAAGGAGAAAACAAATATGGAAATAAAAAAAATAATTTTATACATACATTGATACTCATCATATTACATATCGTATATACATTGATATTCATCAAATTCGCATCATTCAAATAATTGATTTCATTATTCTATCGAGGCGGCAAAACGAAATACTTTCCCGTTATCTAATACCAACAGATTGTCCGGCGCGCATCATTTTAATCAAAACTAAATCCTACAAATGGAAACGAAACAAAAATGAATTGCCAATTTGAACAATACATTTTTCACTTCACTCACGGTTTCCGCTCTTTTCACCTCCTCCGTGAGGTCATCTAAGTTTCGCTCTAACGAGGCCATGCCGGAACACTTTTGAATTAATTGTACTCCCGGCCATTTCAGAAATTCCACCGATTTTAATCTAAGAATGTAGGTCGGCGACGGCAGCCGGAGGGCGTTCCGGCCCCCAGAGGACCCCGCGGGCGGCGTTTAATATTTACGAAGCTAGGCGACCGGCGCTAATTGTACCGCGCGCGGCGAGAGAACCGCTGCCAGGGCATCTGCGCTGCACCCCCGCGCGCAGCGGCCCAGAGCAGTAGCGCCGTTTTCCTCTTACTGTCCTTCACTACGAATTATTATTATTATTATTATTATTATTATTATTATTATTATTATTATTATTATTATTATTACTATTATTATTATTATTAATATTGTTATTAATATTATTATTATTATCATCATCATCATCATCATCATTATTATTATTATTATTGAATTATCAGTCTCAGCTATCCAATCCTGTGTATTTGCCGTATTTGCCATGACCCATTACAGGGTTTATTGGAGATATAACAATAGCAGCAGGATTAACATTATTATTATTATTTTTATTATTTTTATTATTTTTATTATTTTTATTTTTATTATTATTGGCGAATTTCCTCATTAACGGAAGACGCTAAATTAGAGAGGTTATCAGAAACGTAGTAGAAACGAGCGAAGACCTAAGAAGCAGTACTTTTACAATGAAGATCTACATGATTTTAAGTCTCGAGCATTTACAATGCTAAAAAGCATGAGGAGCACTCGGCAACACAAAAGGTGGCTACATCAAAGTTCAGAGAACCTGACAAGAAAAGCACAATAAAAAGGGCTGGATTAAACCCGGTAATTGTTAGTGAATAGAACCATGCAAATTTAACGATAGAAGAGTTTGGGGAAGGAAGACTGGCAAAGGAATGTTGAGGGGAAAATGAAACCGGAGGACGTGCGGTCCCCAAAACTGGAAGCTGGCAAAATTGGGAGGTGCGAAAACCAACCAATAAACATCGGCACAGGGAGGGGTGTGTGGTGGAGGGGAGGGGGAGCTGGGCCCACACGACCGCGAGGGCAAATGGGCAGAAGGTAGAACGCGGGTTGTGGCGAGTCGGGGCCGGGTCGTGCAGCAACGGGCAAGGGCTCGCGCTGCACGATAATCGTAAGAACTGCGCTGCGGCTTGTAAATCGAGCTGCCCCGCTGCGCGCAGTCCAACGGCTCCTGGACCAGCCCTCTCCACCAGCCGAGCATCGTTCCGCGTTCTCTACAGCCACCACCGCCGCAGCCGCCAACCTTCCTTCCCCGCCACACACCGGCGTTATACCCCCGCCACCGCCCCACACGCCCCGCCCCGTTATCACAGACCCACGGAGGCAATTAAGAGTTCGTGGAGGCACGTTCATTCCCACAACGCAGACTTACTTTCCTGCCACACACTCATCTACTCTATAGTCCCGTGTATACCATTCTCCCAACAGCTCAGTCTCATCGTTGCCAAACCACCGTAAATGATACTTACGCCGCCACACGTCCCCGCCCCCGCCACGCCATTGCGGCATCACAGCAATTTTTTCCTACGACCAATACCAGCGTCACCGTCGTAATTGTATCTTTCCATCACCATTCATCATCACTGCCTTCGGTTAACCATGGTCTTCAGTCACCATTACCTTCGCTACCGTCACTGTCACAACTGAAACAGCGTTTCTTACTGTTGCCATTCTCGCAGGCAGTGTTTGTACCCAGTCACGCTTCCGTCACATCCACACACGCAATTCTTGACCCCGCATCTTCATTCCTCGTCATACTCACTCCTACGCTACAACCTTCTCTTTGTCACCTGGTGGACAGACTACAGCCTTGCGCCTACATCACTCGCAATATTTCGATAAGTCACCTCTATCAACCCCATAAATGTCGCCGCAACACCATCACCATAGCAACTCCCTGGGATCATCACCAGCGCCGTTACGATAATTTTCTATCAGCTTCACCATGGCTTTCAGCGACTCAGCCATGGTCATCGTTATCCAACTTCCCCCACCATCGCAGCCCTCACTATAACACCGGTTGTAGCCACTCTTGTAGCCGATTGTAGCCACACCGATTGTAGCGATTCTTATCCGACTGCCGGAGCGTCCACCGAATTCAGCCACATTCACCGCCACGCCCGCAGCCACGCCCGCAGCCACGCCCGCAGCCACGACCACAGCCATTAGCCCCACTCACAATTCCACCAATTCATTCCTCCCCACACTCCCCCCAAGACAAAACCCCATTTCGACCACACTCCCAACCACGCAACAACCTCACTACTACCTCACTTCCACCTTCACACATGCGCAAATGACGCACCACCGCTACACCACCGCCGGCGCCGTCGTCCCTTCATAGACGCCACCGACTCCACCGTAGTCATCGGTATCCACTTTCCCCACCACCGCAGCCTCCACGAAACAGCAACCGTAGTCACTTACCCCTCTCCCGCCGTCCGATACTCCGCCCAACTCCGCCACCGCGCCAGCCCTACGCCGCCGCGCCGGCCGACCCCGTTTAATTACGCCCTTGGAGGGCGCCCCGGTGGCCAAACAGCGCCCTAACGCGCCCGGCGGCCAGGAGGGGCACGTTGGGGGCAAGATCCCGAATGGCTGGGCAAAAGTAGGAAACAAAAAATATTTATTTAGGGAATTGTAACTAAGTAGTTGGGTAGAATGGTTCCCAGAGTGTCTATTTCGTCGGTTAGAAAAGATACGACTGGTCTCAGCAATGTTCTGCATCATTGGAAACGTGGCCGTTGAGCGAGCAGTTCTTTTCGGTTTTAAGTAATTTTTAATCATTCAAAACAGGACAAAAATCGTGATGGTTAGTGAAATGTTTACATACATGAAAAATACTAAAAAAAGTTTAAAAAATTTAATAATTTTTGCTTCAACAAAATAATTTACTTATTTTTAGTAGAAAACAATTATAAGTTGTCTCAACGACATTTGTAAAAAATTCATTCTCTACTACTTAGCTATTGAAATAACTCAAACAGCTGCCTGTCTACTCTGCATTGTGCGCAAGTTCAAGAGTTTGAGTAGTGACGCAGTGACGACGTGACGTGACGACGAATTCCAGTGTTCGAGTGTTCGAGTGTTCGAGTGTTCGAGTGTTCGAGTGTTCGAGTGTTCGAGTGTTCGAGTACGTGTTCGGAGTGTTCGGAGTGTCGAGTGTTCGAGTGTTCGAGTGTTCGAGTTGTTTCGAGTGTTTCGAGTGTTTCGAGTGTTTTCGAGTGTTCGAGTGTTCGAGTTTCGAGTGTTCGAGTGTTTCGCAGTGGGTTCGAAGTGTTCGAGGTGTTCGAGGTGTTTCGAGTTGTTCGAGTGTTTCGAGTGTTCGAGTGTTCGAAGTGTTTTGAGTGTTCGAGTTGTTCGAGTGTTCGAAGTGTTCGAGTGTTTCGAGTGTTTCGGCTGTTCGAGTGTTCGACGTGTTCGAGTGTTCGAGTGTTTTCGAGTGTTCGAGTGTTCGAGTGTTCGAGTGTTTCGCGTGTTCGAGGTGTTTCGAAGTGTTCGAGTTGTTCGAGTGTCGAGTGTTCGAAGTGTTCGAGTGTTTCGAGGTGTTTCGAGTGTTCGAGGTTCCGAGTGTTGAGTGTTCGAGTGTTCGAGTGTTCGAGTGTTCCGAGTGGTTTTCGAAGTGTTTCGAGTGTCGAAGTGTTCGAGTGTTCGAGGGGTCGGGTTGTTTCGAGTGTTCGGGTGTTTCGAGTGTTCGGGTGTCGAGTGTTTTTCGGGCGTGTTCAGTGTTCGGGGTGTTCGAGTGTTCGGTGTTTCGAGTGTTCGGGTGTTCGAGTGTTCGGGTGTTCGAGTGTTCGGGTGATCGAGTGTTCCGGGTGTTTTCGGGTGTTCGAGTGGTTTGCGGTGATCGGAGTGTTCGAGTGTTCGGGTGTTCGAGTGTTCGGGTGTTCGAGTGTTCCGGTGTTCCGAGTGTTCGGGTGTTCGAGTGTTGGTGTTTCGAGTGTTCGGGGTTTCGAGTGTTCGGTGCTTCGAGTGTTCGGGTGTTCGAGTGTCGGGTGTTTCGAGTGTCGGGTGTTCGATGTTCGGGTGTTCAGGTGTTCGGGTGTTGAGTGTTCGGGTGTTCGAGTGTTCCGGGTGTTCGAGTGTTCGGGTGTTCGAGTGGTTCGGGTGTTTCGAGTGTTCGGGTGTTCGAGTGTTCGGGTGTTCGAGTGTTCGGGTGTTCGAGTGTTCGGGTGTTCGGGGTTCGGTGTTCGAGTGTTTTCGGGGTGTTCGAGTGTTCGGGTGTTCGAGTGTTCGGGTGTTCAGAGTGTTCTGGGGGTTCGAGTGTTCGGGTGTTTCGAGTGTTCGGGTGTTCGAGTGTTCGGGTGTTCAAGTGTTCGGGTGTTCGAGTGTTTCGGGTGTTCGAGTGTTTCGGGTGTTCGAGTGTTCGGGTGTTCGAGTGTTCGGGATGTTCGAGTGTTCGGGGTGTTTTCGAGTGTTCCCGGGTGTTCGAGTGTTCGGGTGTTCGAGTGTTCGGGTGTTCGAGTGTTCGAAGTGTTCGAGTGTTCGAAGTGTTCGAGTGTTCGGGTGTTCGAGTGTTCGGGTGTTCGAGTTGTTCGGGTGTTTCGAGTGTTCGGGTGTTCGAGTGTTCGAGTGTTTCGAGTGTTCGAGTGGTTCGAGTGTTTCGGGTGTTCGAGTGTTCGGGTGTTCGAGTGTGGGTGTTCGAGTGTTTCGGGTGTTCGAGTGTTCGGGTGTTCGAGTGTTCGGTGTTCGAGTGTTTCGGTGTCGAGTGTTTTCGGTGTTCGAGTGTTCGGGTGTTCGAGTGTTCGGAGTGGTTCGAAGTGTTCGGGTGTTCGAGTGTTCGGTGTTCGAGTGTTCGGTGTGTTCGAGTGTTCGGGTGTTCGAGTGTTCGGGTGTTCGAGTGTTCGGGTGTTTCGAGTGTTCGGGTGTTCGAGTGTTCGGGTTTCGAGTGTTCGGGTGTTCGAGTGTTCGGTGTTGGGTGTTCGAGAGTTCGGGGTGTTCGAGAGTTCGCGGGTGTTCCGATGTTTCGGTGTTTCCGAGTGTTCTCGGTGTTCGAGTGTTCGGGTGTTCGAGTGTTCGTGTGTTCGAGTGTTCGGGTGTTCGAGTGTTCGGGGTTCGAGTGTTTCGGGTGTTCGAGTGTTTCGGGTGTTCGAGTGTACGGGTGTTCGAGTGGTTCAGGTGTTTCGAGTGTTCAGCGTGTTCGAAGTGTTCAGGTGTTCGAGTGTTCAGGTGTTCGAGTGTTCAGGTGTTGAGTGTTCAGGTGTTGCGAGTGTTCACCGGTGTTGTAGTGTTCAGGTTCGAGTGTTCAAGGTGTTTCGAGGTTCAGGTGTTCGAGTGTTCAGGTGTTTCGATGTTTCAGGGTGTTCGAGTGTCAGGTGTTCGAGTGTTCAGGTGTTCAGAGTGTTCAAGGTTGTTCGAGTGTTCAAGTGTTCGAGTGTTCAAGTTTGTTCAAGGTGTTCAAGTGTTCAGGTGTTCAAGTGTTCAGGTGTTCAAGTGTTCAGGTGTTCAAGTGTTCAGGTGTTCAAGTGTTCAGGTGTTCAAACATGTTCAGGTGTTCAAGTGGTTCAGGTGTTCAATGTGTTCAGGTGTTCAAGTGTTTCAGTGTTGTTCAAGTTTTCAGGTGTTCAGAAGTGTTCAGGTTGTTCCATGTTCAGGTGTTCAAGTGTTTCAGGTGTTCAAGTTGTTCAAGTGTTCACCACAGTGTTCAGGTTTCAAGTGGTTTCAGGTTTCAAGTGTTCAGGTGTTCAAGTGTTCAGGTGTTCAAGTGTTCAGGTTTCAGTGTTCAAGGTGTTCAAGTGTTCAGGTGTTCAAGTGTTCAAGGTGTTCAAAGTGTTCAGGTGTTTCATGCCGTAGGTGTAAATGCAAGGGAAAAGAATACACAGAGGAGGTGTTTTTCCAGGTGTTCAAGTGTTCAGGTGTTCAAGTGCTGGCAGGTGTTCAAGTGTTCAGGTGTCAAGTGTTCAGGTGTTCAAGTGTTCAAGTGTTCAAGTGTTAAGCAAGTGAGTTCAGGTGTTTCAAAGTGTTCAGGTGTTCAAGTGTTTCAAGGTGATCAGTGTTGTTCATGTGTTCAGGTGTTCAAGTGTTCAGGTAGTTCAAATGTGTTCAGACGTGTTGCAGTGTGCAAGTGTTCAGGTTGTTCAAGTGTTCAAGGTGTTCAAGTGTTTCAGTGTGTTCAAGTGGGGTCACGGGTTTCAAGTGTTCAGGTGTTAAGTGTTCAGGGTGTTCAAGTGTTCAGGTGTTCAAGTGTTCAGGTGTTCAAGTGTTCAGGGTGTTCAAGTGGTTCAGGTTGTTTCAAGTGTTCAGGTGTTCAAGGTGTTCAGGTGTTCCAGTGTTCGGTGTTTCAAGTGTTCAGGTGTTCAAGTGTTCAGGTGTTCAAGTTTCAGGTGTTCAAGTGTTCAGGTGTTCAAGTGTTCATGGTGTGCAAGTGTTGCAGAGTGTGCAAGTGTTCAGGTGTGCAAGTGTTCAGGTGTTCAGTGTTCCAGGTGTTCAAGTGTTCCAGGTGTTTCAAGTGTTCAGGTGTCAAGTGTTCAGGTGTTCAAGTGTTCAGGTCGTTCAAGTGTTCAGGTGTTCAAGTGTTTCAGGTGTTCAAAGTGTTTCAGGTGTTTTCAATGTTCAAGGTGTTAAGTGTTCAGGTGTTTCAAGTGTTCCAGGGTTAGTGTTCAGGTGTTCAAGTGTATCAGGTGTTCAAGTGTTCAGGTGGTTCAAGTGTTCCAGGTGTTCGAAGTGTTTCAGTGGTTCAAGTGTTCAGGTTTCATGTGTTCAGGTGTTCAAGTGTTCAGGTGTTCAAGTGTTCAGGTGTTCTAAGTGTTCAGGGTTTCAAGTGTTCAGGTGTTCAAATTTTCAGGTGTTCAGTGTTCAGAGGTGTTTTTCAAGTGTTCAGGGTGTTCAAGTGTCAGGTGTTCAGTGTTCAGGTGTTCAAGTGGTTCAAGTGTTTCAAGTGTTCGAGTGTTCAGGTGTTCGAGTGTTCAAGTTGTTTCAAGTGTTCAAGTGTCAGTGTCAAGTGTTCAAGTGTTTCAAAGTGTTCAAGTGTCAAAGTGTTCAAGTGTTCAGGTGTTTCAAGGTGTTCAGGTGTCAAGGTGTTAGGTGTTCAGTGGTTCAGGTGTTCAAGTGTTCAGGTGTTCAAGTGTTCAGGTGTTCAAGTGTTTTCAGGTGTTCAAGTGTTCAGGTGTTCAAGTTCCAGGTGTTCAAGTGTTCAGGTGTTCAAATGTGTTCAGGTTTGTTCAAGTGTTCAGGTGTTCAAAGGTGTTTCAGGTGTTCAAGTGTTCAGGTGTTCAGTGTTCAGAGTGTCAAGTGTTTCAGGTGTTCAAAGTGTTCAGGTGTTCAAGTGTTCAGGTGATTCAAGTGTTCAGAGTGTGTTCAAGTGTTTCAAAGTGTCAGGTGTTCAAAGTGTTCAGGTGTTCAAGTGTTCAGGTGTTTCAATGTGTTCAG